GAATTTAGATCCCAAATTGCAGTTACTGGGTAAAAAGGAAGTAGAGAATGGCTTAATATCTGTCTCTCCACTGTGAGCTGTTTGAAGTTTGTGAAATGTTATGTTGAATGGTATCTCTTGTCTGTAGGGCTTGCGCTCTCTCTCTTTCTCTTCCCCCCCCCCCTGGGGCAAAAAAAAAAAAAATGAAATGATCATACTATTCATTTTTGACGGAATTTTGCATTGTATCCTTGATGACACTTTAACTTATTTTTGCTGCAAAACGCAATTTGCATTGCCACTTGTTGACTAATCATTTATTTGTTACTTCCACCACCAAATCTGCCACTATGGCATCACTGTCACCATCAGTGTACAATAATTTGTATCATCTTCCACTTCTCTTCGACTGGAATCTGGATCACCACCTTTCCCACTATTTTTCTGACATTATGACAATTTTCCCTTGACCCAGTAATACAAGTATACCAGGTCAGTAACACTAGTGTTGCTAAAGGCGCACTTAGGCCCATGTGCAGCAGGTCCCTTTTTGTAGGGCCGTGCCCAAACCCAGGTGGGGCCCCTTCAATAAGGTGTGCGCTTATGCTCAAGGCCCAAGTCACATGTAAGGTGTGCTACAGTAAAAAAAAAACTTTTTTTCTCTGCCAGATTCCATGCCAATCATTCACATAATGTGTTGAATTATAAAATTCAATCTGATCCAAGTTAATGTCAAGAGAAAGCCCTAAGGTTTGCCTCTTCTCCCTTTGTGTCTGAGAACTGATCGGTTGGACACTTGTAGAAAATTAGGACTGTCTTTTCTCCTGTCCTCCCTCTGCGTCTCTCTCTGATTTTTTTGTTGTAACGTTTTTCTTTCTTCTTCATGCTTATCATATTTGATCTTTTTTTATGTCTTTTCTTTGCGTTTCCTTTCTTCTTTATTTCTTACTGGTTCTTCTGAGTGCCGCTCTCTCTCTGTTCTTTTCCCCTCCCCTCCTGTCTCTATGAGTTAGATCCAGTGTTTGAAGTTTGAACCAAGTTACCCTTTGGCCTCTAGGAAACAACTGTTTTTCCTCATGCAAAATGGTCTACAGATACCCAAATTTTGTTTTTGGTCAATTATTAAAGTGCCATACTTGTCTTAATTATTTGTGGATTCGATTGCATGTTTTGTTTCTGTTTTAAGAAATGATATTGCTCTGTTTGTGAGTATAACTGAACATGTGTTGTGAAATTGCTGGCCGAATGCTGTGTCACTGTATGATTTGTATGGATTAGCACTGCAGAAATTGGGAAGTTGAGATGCAAGAGCTTTGTTTGTAATAAAAAACTCCAATTATCTGAGTTAAAGCGGGTTATTGAAAAATTTTGCACTTGTTTGTGAAATGGGCCTTTGTTTATTGAAGTTAGCCTCTGTTTGGATTATTTTGGAAGTTGGATGTTTTATGATGTTTGTAATACTGAAATATTTACTTTTTTCAGTATTACAAACATCATTGGAGAAATCCAAAATCAAATGGGCCCATTTGATTTTGGATTTGTCCCTTTAATATTTTCTCTTTATATTAAAAAACTAAAACTCCAAACTGCATGCATCTATCCAAAAATTAAAGTTAAATAACACCAAAAAAAAATTATTCGCTCACTCGATGAAACCATATATGAAAAAAAAAAAAATAACGTTCACTAAATGCTAAAATCAAATGGGCCACTCAAATTCATCGGTAATGAATTCAAAAATTGTCATCGTACAATCCAAAATAAAAATATCCAAATTTTAAAGAAAACAAATTAGTTATCATGATCAAATTATTTTTTTCCACTAAACACAAAACTGTTTAGGCGAAAGTAAACATTGTGATCAGAATAGTTACCACTAACAACTATGAAATTTTGCATTTCTGGTTCATGCGACTTTGATAAACAAAGAGACCACAAAAGGTAGTGCATGTGACTTCGATTAACAAAGAGACCACAAAATGGTGTTCAATACCATAGAAAAAGTACACGTGAATGCAATTTCAATTAGTTAACACTAAACCATAACAAAACGGGATGATATTCATAATCCACATATGATTCATTCATAATCAACTATGCAGGTAGACATTTTGAGCTATCAAAATTTAATATTTTAACTCATCCTAGTGCTTATATTTATTGCATATTATAATCCATGGCTATTTCGAAAAATTAATTGCAAACATAACTTCAATTGTGATTTTCAAACCAATACAATCCTATCTTATAAAAGGGACAAATCCAACTTGCAGAACACTGCCAAAATATCACCCAAATAGAACCCCTAAGCAATAAAAATTAAGCCACGTCCAAAATCTAATCTTTCCATTGATACATAACAAATGCATTGTTGAATATTTACAATAGGAAAAAAAAACAATACCTTCCAGTGTATTGGTTTAGATGATACCATCCACGACTTCAACCACATCAGCTGTATTCATCTAAAAAATCATGTCAAAGCAATCATTTCAAAACCGACAACCACTCCATCCATAAATTGAATAGGCTATAAACTAATCGAATCAACTATTTGTAAAAATTGGTAAGAATGACTTGTATTATGACAATGATAAAATTAAATAAGTTCCCTAACATTTTTTTTTTTGAAAAATTTGGAATGATTTTTGGAAAACTTGTAACTCTAAGATGTGAAAAACAAAAGGCACCAGTACGTAGAATGAAATACGTAACAGAAACCCTAGTTGAATAAGTTTAAAACTAATCAAATATCAAACGCTAATGCTAAAGAAGTTTAAATATATACCTTTTGACAACCAATAGAGACCCATTGCTCTAAATGATGACGGGTTGCAGCATAGTAACGATTTTTCCTTGATTCCGCAATCGATGTCAAAGTTGAAATCGGGTCTTTCATAAAAAAAAATAAAAAATTCCTACGACTAACTGTGAAAATAAAAATTCTAATTGGCATACAAACTGAAATTTGATTTCTAAATTACAAGAAAAAATTAGAAAAAAATCTCAACTGAAATTTATTCCTGAAGTGCAAGAAATCTATCCAAAGATCAAACCTTAATTCTAAAGAAGTTTAAATATATACCTTTTGGCAACCAATAGAGACCTATCGCTCTAAACGATGTAGGGTTGTGGCATAGCAACGATTTTTACTTGATACTGCAGTCGATGTCGATGTCGAAGTTGAAATCAGGTCTTTCGTAAAAAAAAAATAAAATTCTTGAGACTAACTGCAAAAATAAAATTTCTAATTGGCATATAAACTGAAATTTGATTTCTAAATTGCAAGAAAAAATTATAAAAAAATCTCAACCGAAATTGATTTCTGAATTGCAAGAAATCCATTTAGACTGTGTACGTGACTAAGATTTGCATTTGTGTGGTGTGTGTGCAAAGGGAATATGTGGGTGTGTAGGCAAGCGAGTGATATAGAGGGGGGAAGAGAGGAGGGAAAAAGACAGAGAGAAAAAGAGACAGAGAGAGGGGTACCTTACCCTTGGTTAGCAAAGGGGTCAAAGAAGAGAGATATAAACAAAAGAGGGAGTGAGATTGGGGGGGTTTTTAGGTTAGGGTTTTTCGGGGAGGTTTCGGGTGGGGGTTATTTATAGGTTTGGGTGACAGAGATAAACAGAGAAATAAAAACAAAAGCGAAGAGAATGAGAGCTCAAAACCTGGTGGAAATGGCGGGCAGTGGTGGTGGAGGTGGGATGTCGCTGGTAGTGAGAGGGTGAGAGACAGATGTTGGGGTGGGCATATACAGTTTAATGGATAGACTGAGAGAAGAGGGGAGGATAAGAGAGATGGGGAAGATAGAATTGTGATAGATTAGGAGAGGGAGGCAGAAGTGAGAGATAGAGGCAGAAGTGAGAGGGGGAGGCGTGAGACAAAGGTTGGGTTGGGCAGGAAAGAAAAATATAATACTCATTGTTGACCGTTAGATATAATTTTTTCCTTCATTTTTTTGATTATATCACTTAAAATCTATGTCTATCAATTATTTTATTAAAATATATAATTCTATAAAATTTTCTCAACATATGTATACTATCATATATAGATAATGTTTGAAATAAAAATCATATTAAACTATAAATTAATTAAATATTAAAATAATTGAGCATGTGATAGAAATGAGTGATGTGATGTTTTTAGGGGAGAAATGTGTAGGGGATAAAATTCAAGTTGTGAGCTATCTTATATATATATAGAGAGAGAGAGTGAGAAGATGAGATAGTGTATTTAAAACATGTAAGAGATAAGAGAGAGAGTGAGAAGATGAGATAGTGTATTTAAAACATGTAAGAGATAAGAGAGAGAGTTATATGAGAGATAGGAGACTTAAGTCCAATTATGACCGTCGAATCAGTATTTATAAGATGATCTGAACCGTCTTTTATGTTGAGATTACATTATCCGTTGGATGTGTTTATTTTGTGTCTCAAAACTATCTGGATCTCTTTTTGTCTTTTGGATTTAAACTTCGTTCTACTTTATTATATAGATATTTTGTGTTTCTTTGGTTATGTGTCCAAGTTTTGAAAAATCATTTCAATGGTATCTATATGTTGCACCTCACCCCTAGCCCCCAGAGGACCTTAGTGCGCCCTAAATAACACCGATCAGCACCAGTGTACCACCATGGATGCATCGGTTGACTGTAGCATGCATTCCATTGATTGAACTGAATCCCAACATGTTGCATGATGTCCTTCACTGGCATGCTGGTTGACTTGTCTTAAATTTGGTATGTTGTTGCCCTACATTTGACTAGTTGATGCATGCTTTGTGTGTCATTGATGGACTAAATTTGATTGCATACCATGCCAAGATTTTGTGTGTAAGAACTGTTTATATATATATTGCCCCTTTTGTTAATGGAATAGTTTTTACAGCGCCCAGGATTTGACAGCTATCATCAATGGCATGGTTTCTTTGAGACATACCCAGACTGTCACATATAATTGTTATCTTTGAACTTTTGGCTTTAAATTTGTGGATAGGGATTGATACTGTGGGTAGTAATGGAAACAAAGTTCGCAAAGGTATTGGATAGTGGTCGTCTGGCTGTGGTTGGTCTGAAAAGAAAGCGGGCAGTGCGATGTGAAACATATTTTACTGGAGCTACCCGCACGGTCTCACCACTGCGGCCCACCTTGAATTCATCCATTCACAAGCTTGGCAAGAGGAGGAAATCAAATGGAATGAAAACCAAGTGTGGTGCCTGCGTTTCTAACTTCCAAAAATCTTTGCTTAGATATTACTCAAATTTCATGAAAAGTGGACTCCCACAACGCTTGATGTGTTACCAGAACGGTGAATGGGTTGATTTCCCTCAGGATTTTGTTGCACTGGTTAGAAAAGATTTTCAGGAAAAGAAGGCAGCCACCGAGGTGGAGTTCAATGATCATCTTTTTGTGCTAGACTTTTTGCATATGATGCGATTGGACTTGAAGACAGGTCTACAGCAACCTATTGCTTGGATTGATGAAACAGGCAACTGTTTTTTCCCCGAAATCTTTTCTGGCTGTGATGGATTTCATGAATGTTGCCATCACGAAAATAAGAAAGATCATGGGTTTCTAATTTCAGAGCCTCCTGCTTCCAATGATATCAAGCTGCAGCTTGAGATTGAAATAAATGGGTCAGATTGCTCTAAGTTGAAGGACTCTGATGGAGAGTCAAATGCTATAATTAAGAAAATTCTAGTTAACCAGCAACGTGGTTGTAATGATTTTGATGCAGAAGTTGATGACAGCTGTGTCAAAGAATACGATACAAAGGTCGATGAGGCCTCATCTGGGAAAGATCTAGAGATGGATGAAAACCTGGTCAAGGTTGATTCTACACATGGAGTTCTGGATTCTGATAATGTGCAGGAAATGTTTTTCAAGGGGATGCATTCACTTACAAATGCAAAGATAGTTAAAATATATGGTGGCTCAGGTACTTCAATGCAAGCTCGATTGGAACTTTTCCAGAAGCAGGTTGAAATCACCAATAAGTATCGTGGGGATGCAAATGTCCGATATGCTTGGCTTCCTTCTTCAAAAGCAGCATTATCTAGTATCATGACGTATGGGCTTGGGCATTATGGATCATCCAAAATGAAGTGCACATATGGCATTGGTGTTCATCTCACACATGCAACCTACACCTATTCCAGGTCCGAATTTTCTTTTCCCGCCACAAGTTGATTTGTATTGTAGGTGTTGCATGTAGTTGTTATGATAATGTTGACATCTTAGGACATTGAGGGAGTTGGCCTTTCTTTCCTGGACATTGCTACCCCTCTCAAGGATAAAATTATGAACTTGAATTGCATGTCAAATGATGATGTGGGTAGGGGTGTCAAATATGTCGGGTTAAAAGGGTAGTTGGTGAAAAACATGTAAATCTATACACGACCCATTTAATAAATGGGTGAAAAATTTCAACACGAACTGTTTAATAAACGGGTAACACGATACGACTCGTTTAACCGTTTTAATTTATTATTATATTTTTGTGGCTGTCACTAAACTAAAAAAAATTTTGTGGCTATCACTAAAAATAATATATATATGTGGCTGTCACTAAAAAAAAAATTTGCCGAATTTTTAAAAATAATTATTAATTTATTATTATATTAATTTTATTTAAACGGGTGATAAATGGGTTGACTGGACTCATCCGAACACAACCTGTTTATTAAACGTGTCTAATGGGTCAATTCGTTTACCATCCGAACCCGTTAAGGTTTCACCCAAATCCGCTTAATTTTTATCTATTTGTGTCGTGTCGGATTTTGACAAGCAAATAGATGTGGGGCAAGTTGATAACTACCATATTTAAAAAGATTATAGGAAGTAAGAACTAAAATGGAGGTTACTGAGGTTGGTGCACCATCGTATGGTAATTGATCCCTATTTGACCGTCATCCTGCTAAATTTAATAATTCTAACTATTATTTGATCGGTCATCTCTGTGGGATTGGCTCCTTGTTTGATAGGATCTTATGTTTGAATAAGGTCAACAATGGGGCCATTTGTGCCAACACTGCTAGGTTGCTTGTCCAGTTGGACCAACAATGTCTAATTGTTGATGCATTGTATTAGTGAAACTGATGCATGTTTTATTGTGATTGTTTGATGTTTATTTGAGTAGATCTAGAAGTTAAATTAGTCAATGCAACTGTATTGACTCTTTTTGTGTTTGCTTCTGGTTTGATGAGATCTTTGTTCGAATAAATCCTACAATGAGGTCATTTGCTTCACCTTTGCTAGTTTCCCTTCCACGTTGTATAAGCGTTATTGTTCGGATTATCAATACATTTTTCTATATAAGTTTTTTTTTGTTGTATTGATAATTACAATATAGAGTTGGGTATGAGTGACCTATTGGGTTTGCGAAATATTGTGAGACTTTGGTTGCTATTGACTAGCATAGTGAGTATGTTTATCATAGTTTTGGTCACTTGCCCTTAGAGATCCATTGGATATGTACCTTTTTGTCTTTTTTTTTTCTCCCCTATCCTGCTGTTACTGTAGTTTTCTTCTCTTTAGTCATGTGCATCACAGAGAAATTTAGTTTTTGTTTTTTACAGTGCAACTTATTGTGATGTTGACGAAAATGGGTTACGGCATATGGTATTGTGTCGTGTAATAATGGGAAACATGGAGCTTGTTCTGCCTGGATCTAAACAGTTCCATCCCAGTAGCGAGGACTTTGATAGTGGAGTTGATGACCTTCAAGATCCAAAGCATTATATAGTATGGAATATGAATATGAATACTCATATCCACCCGGAATTTGTGGTTAGTTTCAAGGTTTCTTCTGATGCTGAAGGTGATATTTTATCCCTAAAGTTGTTTTGTTTTTTGGCCATTGCATTTTTTTTTCTATCAGATGTCATTTATAAATGCTTTTTAGTCGATTGATACCTGTTTAGTGGAACATGCCAACATGATTTGGATGGTCTAAAGGATTGTATAGTGTGGAAAATCGATATGAATATTCATACCTAGCTGGAATATGTTGGTAGTTTCAAGGTATCTTCTGATGCTAAGGTGATATCTACACCTTAAGTTGTTTTTTTGGCTGTTACATGTCGTTTTTCTTTTTTTTTTTGGTACGTCGCTATATGACATGCTTTTTAGTCGATTGATATGTGTTTGATGGAACAAGCCAACAAGATTTGGACGGACAATGAGACCAATCAGGTGATCCACTGTACATTTTCTTTTGGAACTTGGTGGTGAAAGTGCAGAAGTTGATAGTGTTGAAAAGTCCATGGTTGCTTAAATGTCTCCAGTTGGTTGTGGTTTTGGGGTTGTTTACATTCAAGAGATGTCACACCAGTCAAACTTGTGGTTTATTCAGTAAAGGATGTATCCTTTTTATCGTCTTTTCAGTTTAAATTTGCGCTCCTATCTTTGAAACAGTTGGCACCTGAGCTCTTGCTCTTTCGTTATCCTTTCAGGATTTCTGGTTGGAAATGATAGCAAGCTTGATACTTCTGGAGTCACAACTTGCGAAGGGCCACAGGTTCAGTTACAATTAGATTCCTCTCCAGCCGAGTTGGTAAGCATCCCAATACATTGATATTTTCATTCGTTCTTCTTTACTGTCTTAACTTCCCCCTGTGTGTTTGTTTTGATGTTTTCTAGTTGGTTTTCAATTTAGCCATTGTCTTAAACTGGGAAATCTGCACTTTATGACCCCTAACGAAACTTGGATTATCTTCAGCCATGTTCTGCACATATCCGGTCAGAGAGCTGGGCTCCTGTGGTGGCACATGTGGATGACTACCTGTGTTCAGCATCCATGGGTTTTTGTTCTGGAATATAGAAAGTCCATGGGCCTGAGGCCTTGTTTTCTACCATGATATTAGTTGGCTGAACAGGCAAAGAAGTTCAGTTTTTAATATTCCTGGTAGGCCTTATATAAATCCAAAAATGCATTTATCTTTTCTCATGTACTGCAAACTAACCAACTCCTGGAAAAAGCCACCCCCACCGTACATGCACGTCCAGAAGAGAAAATGTGACATGCTCTTGTCATGGCAAAACAGCCAAGATTGTATATTGGAAAAGGGGTAATTTGCTATAGTAGTTATACGAGTTTAAGATTTGGTGTGGGGGACAGTGCTGAAGTTGGAAGGGCTTATGTTGGTTCATGTGTCTAAGTGTGTCGAAGATAGTACGGGTGAGCGCATTTGTGGCTGGGAGAGTGAGAAGTCCTTGAAATTTAGCATGGCATGTATATGTTGCATTGTAACCTCCATTGGACTATAAGATCACAGTTGAAAGTCAACTTGAAAGGCACCTTACAAGGTGCCAATAGAGAAGGTTGCATGTTAGAAGCAACATACTTGCATGGTTGCGTGCTGAATGTGTTGGTTTATATGATTCAACAAGGTTCCTAGACCGTGTGTTCATACAGAATCCAGACCAGTGGCCACCAAGTTTTGTGTCTAGTATTAAGTCGGCATAAGTACTTCATGTGAGTAGCAGATACTAGAATGTGCAGATCTCATGCCAAGAATAGATGAGATTTCTGGATTGAGATACCATTTGTTTGGATGAGATCTGTAAACAGATTATATGGATCTGAAGGTTCATGCTGGAGCCAGTTATTTCTGGAGGAAGGGGACTTTTTGTCCATGTTAAATAATAGAAGCTTTAAGTTGTGAAATTGGATTTGTTGATCTGGGGCTTTTCTAATTCTGCATGCAAGTCCTTTCCTTATGGTGTCTTGAGCTTGGGCCAAGTGTAATAACTTAGGTGTGATTTAGTCAGTGCTACAATGCAAGCTCACATTGATCATAGCGCTGCTCACCCAACTCTGATTGGCAGTCAAAATTGATGCCTCTATAAAGGGGAAAGTTTTCTGTTTTAACCTTTGGGGGTGTCGGGATTGGATTTATGTGGAAGATTATTTGGCTTTTGTCCTAGCATCCATATAATTACTTTTGTTGCTATTGCTGCAAGCATTTTTCTAACGATGCTTTTGTTGTTAGGGAAGCGATTGCTACAATGAATTTGAGCGATCTCGAGATAAAGGTGTTAATCTGGGTTCGAGCAGTACAAGGACTCCTAAATCTCCTTGGTTGCCATTCCCTATGTTGTTTGCAGCCCTTTCACATAAAGTTCCACCTAAGGATTTAAACCTTGTCAATGTTAATTATGACCTCTTCAGGGTATGTCTGGTGACATCTCTCTCTCTCTCTCTCTCCTGATTTGTTTGAAATTATTAATTTAAAATTTTCTCTTTTGCTAATATTTTACAGACGAAGAAGATAAATCGAGATGATTTTGTTAGAAAGTTGAGATTGATAGTTGGTGATACTTTGTTGAGGTCTACAATAACAGGTCTTCATTGCAAGGTACATGTCATATTTAATCGGTTGGATATCTGGTATGGGGCTATGCAATAGTAGTTATTATCATCAATATATCTTACCATTAATTATTTATTGATAGATTTTTACTTGACCAAGTGTCTGCACCTTGTTTGTTCCGGAGAAATTTGTCTTGTCTTTGGCTGATCTATTGATCAAAGAATAAGCTGCTCAGCTATGTTGATATTTTGGCATTTGTTTATTCCTCCTTGGGCCTTTCGTGATGTGGTTGCAGTTGAAAACTTGAGCTGGAGCCATCATTTCAGTAAAGAATTAGAGAAATTTCATCTCGTTTCCAAAAAAGATAGGCAAAAAGTCCTGATTTGCTTGTATTCCAAGATTCTACATATTTGATTACACTTCATGCTTTTTAGGAGTTAGCCATTAGCCAATTCCTTTATGGTCTCGAGTCCCAATTTTGTAGGGAACAAGCAATAAAGTTCATCCTCAGCAGGTCTTAACGTGGAGTCCAACAGAGTTTGTCTAAGGACCTAACTTAATTATCTAACGTCCGTGAAATATCATAGGACTCTTGTTTGTTTCTATTTAGTTTAAGGTTAATTGGGAGAAAGGGACATGTATCAATGAATTGTGCGGGGAGGAGGAAAAGAAATCTTAACCCTACATCTCACTCTCAAGTTCTATATATAGATACCACAATCAAAATAGAAAAACTAGTATACCCATGAGTATGGTTCATTGCTTTCTTTAATATATCTGTAAGTTAATCCTCAGATTTTACTAACGGTGTAGAATGTTCCCATTTAACATCTTATTCTAGATGAAGTGATAATCAACTTCGATATGTTTAATTATTTCATATGAAGTGTTGTCTGATTGTTACAAAACAATTGAACTGGTGTCCGAACTTGATAGCCATTCTCCTGAATAAAGTGTTGTAATCATGTTAACTTACTTGGAGTATATGCCATTGCCCTATACTCTGTTTTTGCACTTGATCATGCTACCGCATTTTGCTTTTTACTTCTTCGTAAACTAAGTTATCCCCTAAAAAAGTACAATACGGTGGTCATGGTTCTAAGTATTGGTTGAGTCTGATACTACTCAACCAAGTTGTATCCAACTCGGCCACTTCCGATATGATAACGTGACAAGAAACGTAGAAATTACGAGTTAGACCTATATCAACGATATCTTGGCAAAAATAGGACAAATTGGCACGAATCAGAGTTAATTCGGTAGGACTCGAATGATTCAAATCAAAATTGGCTGATACGAACAGGGTGTTGACGGTAATCATACCCATAAAATCAAATATCACACAAGCAAATCATCTTCTTCCTTTTCTTCTTTTCTCCTTATTCTTCTTCTTTTCTCTATTCGTCTTCCTCTTCGCAAACCCGGAGTATCAGAAAAGGAGAAGCTCGGGCATCGGTGGCTTTGTTGCCCAATTTCCTAGGCCCCTTCATCGGCGTCTCATTGTTGGGATTTAACACGATTTAAATCCACTAACAAACACACACAATCGAAGAACAAATCAAGAATATAAAGCAATAAGAAACAAGAAAGAACAAGACACAGATTTTACGTGGTTCGGCAATTTGCCTACGTCCACGAAGCTGCAGGGATTTCACTATTGAGAGAGTTGAATACAGAGAGCGGCTGTACAATCCACAATAAACTCTAATCACCAAAACAACAGGGTTTATATGTCCTACGCACTGGGCTGTATAACGGGCCCAAAAATTTTTTCCCCGGGGCGTTGCCCCCGAACCCCCACGAGGTTTGTCCATGAGCGCTACGGCTTGGGCCTATCGGCCTAAGCCTTTGCTCCATGGACTAAGCTTCAAAAAATTTTCCATTAAAAAATCACACAACATTACTTCGGGTCGGGTCATCATCCAAATCACATATACAAACTAGACTCCATAAAAAAAAACCATCACTCCTTTCGAATTCTTCTTCTTCCCCTATCTTTTTCTCTCTCTGGATTGAGACTGAGGTGCAGATGCATAATGCGTCTTTGGGAAGGTAAGAGTCCTAGAAGACTTGCTTTTTGGGATTATAAATTGTTTATAACAAATTTTTTTCTTTTCTTTTTTATCTTATTTTATTATGTTAAATTATTTCATGTGGCTAATGATTTTGAGAATTAGCATTTTTTTTTTAAGTGTTCTTTGTACTTCTTTATCTTTTTTTAGTTAGGTTAAATTGTTTTAAGTGAGTAATAATTTTTGGGTCTTAAAAACTTTGCTTTTGGGAATTAATAGATTTTTTTTGTGTTCTTTTTACTTCTTCATCTACTTTTAGTTAGGTTAAATTATTTTAAGTGGGTAATATTTTTGGGTACACTTTTACGGGTATGCCCCAACTAGTAAACAATAGTAAGGTATTTATGAAAATTTTAAATGCAATGACATTATTTGTCTAATTTAATTAGTTTGAATTTTCACATTGTAGAAACAATAATTATCCCGGAGACTAATGATGATTGAGTCTCATCGTGAACAATGATAATGATAATTATTTTTGATAATGCTCATATGTTTCAATTTAATTATTTTTAATGTGTTTTTGAATGTATTGTGGACATATGATGCATGAATGATGATGTTTATAATTTTTAAATTTTTTTGGAGCTTTTATCTAGCATTTTGAGTGTATCGGCTGATACGACGCTGCGACCGATGTGTATCAGTGCCCTTCGAGTTGATGGCAGATATCGTGAAGTTGAACCATGGTGGTGGTTGAACTTCGAAGTGAGGGAGATCTAGCTCGATCAGTATCTGTAATACCTTCCAACCTAAGATATTTATTAAATCGATACAACAGTCCTAGTTTTGGAGCTTTGTTTAAGGTACTTGTGGATACGAACAACATTCCAATGTGGTACTTAGGGTGCACCCATAAACTGAATCACAACACTAGCAGAGTATGAAATATCTGGTTGAGTACTAGTGAGATAATTCAGCTTCTCTACCAACGTGCGATATCTATCCAGATTTTCAAAATGGTGTATTGTCTTCTATTAAAAGTTTTTGATTTATATCTACAGTAACATCACTTGGTCTACCACCCAATAAAGCTGTTTCTTCTAGCATATTAGTTGCATACTTTCTTTGAGGCAAATTATACCCTTCTTAGACCTAGTAACTATGATACCCACATAAACAAGAAGTACAATATAACCAGAGTCAGTATGTCGGGTTCAATACATAGTGATTTGTCCGACACCTAGAGAGACCAAACTCTAAAATTGTCTTGGAAAACTTCCCACACCATGGTCTCAGTGATTATTTCAAACCATACCGAGCCTTCTTCAAGCAACACACACTCTTACGATAATCTTCCAGAGCAACAAACTCAGGTGGTTGCTCTATGTAAACTCCAACCAAGTCACCATGAAAAAAAATATTTTTAACATCCACTTGAAACCAAGACCGATCAAGATTAGTAGTTAAAGAAATCAATATATGAATAGAGCTAATTTTAGCAATAGAGGAAAATTTCTCATCCTAATCAATGCCATAAGTCAAAGTAAATCCCTTAGCAACAAGTCCGATTTTTAGATGGTCAACAGAACCACTAGGATTTAATTTCACAGTAAACATCCACTGACAACCGACATGCTTTTTTTTCACGGGGTACCATAACGAGATCTCAAGTCCTATTCTGATATGAGGAATCCATCTCAACCTCCCTAATTTTCTTCCAATCCGAATTATATAATGCTTCCTATGGTATGGTAGAGACTTGCAAAAGGTAACATCAACATTAGTGAAATAGCGTCGGAGCATAGGACTGGAACAATGATAACCTTTTTGGGTGTATGAATAACCAAGAAAGACATATTTAGTAGCACGAGAGTCAAGTTAATCCAATTTGGGACCCAAATTATAAACATAACAAACACAACCGAAAATCTTAGGAGGAATATGAAATAAGGGAGATTGCGGAATAAGGTGGCTTCCAATCAAGAATTAAAATATCGTTTTGAAATGTTCGAAACGTCCAAAACGTTTCCGTTTCCAAGAAAACCGAAACGAAATTGTAAGGGAACCGAAATTCTAATAGTTTGAGGTATTCCATAATATTTAAAGATGTTTTATAATATTTTAATGTATTTACACAATTATTTCGGAATGTTTCAAGGTATTTCAAGATATTTTAATATATTTCAATCAATGTTTAAAAAAAATAATTCATAGATTTTTATATCTTTTTCATTATGTTTTCGAAACGGGTCGAAATGTTTCCGTTTTCTAGGTGATCGAAACAACATACCAAAACGAAATTTTAATTCTTGCTTCCAATGTAACAAAGAAGAAGATATACGATTGATAAGATGACAAACTAGAAGCATAAAATCACTCCAAAAGTGTCTGAGAATATGCATATGAAACAAAAGTGCTCGAGTTACTTTCGACAAATGATGAGTTTCAGGCTTTGTCATCTCGTTATATTGTAGGGCGTGGAGATTGGAAGTCTTGAAGATGAGTGACAAGTGTGTTAGAGTCACATTTTCTCGCATTGTTAGACCGCAATATACGAATGCGATAATCAAATTGAGTTATGATTTCTTTTCAAAACATTGGAACTATTGAAAGTAATTCGGAGTGAGTCTTCAGTCATGTCATATAAGCAAGGTTGTCAAAATCATGTATTGGAAGGCATAACGTTTTTTAAAAACAGTGTATCGCGTACTATAACGAATCGTGTAGCATAAGTGACATACAGTTTTATAAAAGATATTAAAAAACACATATGAAAAAAGGTCACAATAACATTTAATTGAACAATAAATTTCTCACATAAAATAATTTAAAGAGGCTCCAATGACCAAAACAAAAAATTAACAATTTAAGTTTTCAAGTTTCTAACATAATTTTTTAACATCAAAATTTAGGGAGTTCTAGTTCTAACATCTAAAGGAGTTGGCGGAGGACACGACACTTTTAACAATCAATCTATTTGCACTAGCAATGGAACGAGTAACAATATAAGATTTTTATTTTTTAAAACCATAGGTAGTGAAACGATGTTGTTCATTTCTTAGTGCTTAAAAAATCAATTTCCTGTGAAAGACGTCATTTTCTGGTAAAATTCCCAAAAAAAAAATAAAACATTTATCTGTTTTGCTTGTATCAGACGACGCGTATGTACTGTCTCATATCGGGTGTATCATATTGTGTATAGCAAGATACGATGCAAAACCAATTCACTTAAACGATACATATCGTTTCTTCTGTATCAAGACATATCGTACGATCCGCGATCCTACCAACTATCGTACGATACTAACAATTATGCATACGAGAAAAGTCATCCATAAATGTCACAAAATAAGAAAATTTATTTGATGAAATGTTTTTCATTGGACCGCACATATCAGAAAGATTCAACTCAAAAGGACTAGAGATGCAATTATTAATTAATGGTTGAAAAGACACAGTGATGTGTATTGAACTGACAAGCTTCACAAAACATCGAAGATACATAA